CTATTAAAATAAAAGACGCGCGCATGGATTGATACGTCTATTGTTTGCCATGTTATAAGACCCTGAAATCGACTCTCATTAAACCAAAACTAGCCCTGGCTGATTTTTAAAAAGTGATAATTTTTAAATTAATCCTCTATTATATAAAAGACGTGTGCATGGATTGATACGTCTATTGTTTGCCATGTTATTAGACCCTGAAATCGACTCTCATTAAACCAAAACTAGCCCTGGCTGATTTTTAAAAAGTGAAAATTTTTAAATTCATCTTCTATTAAAATAAAAGTCGCGCGCATGGATTGATACGTCTTTTGTTTGCCATGTTATTAGACCCTGTTGTCGACTCTCATTAAACCAAAACTAGCCCTGGCTGTTTTTTAAAAAGTGAAAATTTTTAAATTAATCTTCTATTAAAATAAAAGACGCGCGCATGGATTGATACGTCTATTGTTTGCCATGTTATAAGACCCTGAAATCGACTCTCATTAAACCAAAACTAGCCCTGGCTGATTTTTAAAAAGTGATAATTTTTAAATTAATCCTCTATTATATAAAAGACGTGTGCATGGATTGATACGTCTATTGTTTGCCATGTTATTAGACCCTGAAATCGACTCTCATTAAACCAAAACTAGCCCTGGCTGATTTTTAAAAAGTGAAAATTTTTAAATTCATCTTCTATTAAAATAAAAGTCGCGCGCATGGATTGATACGTCTTTTGTTTGCCATGTTATTAGACCCTGAAGTCGACTCTCATTAAACCAAAACTAGCCCTGGCTGTTTTTTAAAAAGTGAAAATTTTTAAATTAATCTTCTATTATATAAAAGACGCGCGCATGGATTGATACGTCTTTTGTTTGCCATGTTATTAGACCCTGAAATCGACTCTCATTAAACCAAAACTAGCCCTGGCTGATTTTTAAAAAGTGAAAATTTTTAAATTCATCTTCTATTAAAATAAAAGTCGCGCGCATGGATTGATACGTCTTTTGGTTGCCATGTTATTAGACCCTGAAGTCGACTCTCATTAAACCAAAACTAGCCCTGGCTGATTTTTAATAAGTGAAAATTTTTAAATTCATCTTCTGTTAAAATAAAAGACGCGCGCATGAATTGATACGTCTTTTGTTTGCCATGATATTAGACCCTGAAATCGACTCTCATCAAACCAAAACTAGCCCTGGCTGATTTTTAAAAAGTAAAAATTTTTAAATTAATCCTCTATTATCCATAGTACCACAACATTTTTAATTTTTAAAATTGGATAATTCAATAATCTTAAATTTGACATATGTCCTACTGAAGGTCATTTCAAACTGATTTACTAATTATCTTCTAGAACTGTAGAAACAAGAACGAAGAAAATTTGGTAATCTTACAAGAGGCGCGACCTATACACCAGTATTTAAAAATTAGGTTGGTATGTCGCGCCTGCTGTGCTGTAGTGGTTTTATGTCGCGCCTACTGAAGTGGTTTTATGTCGCGCCTGCTGTGGTGGTTGATAAAAGAAATCCGGTATTTATGCCTCACAATCACCGGGACTGCAGGAAAGAATAAGGGCCTTTGGGATGGGTTCAGAAGGGGAAGACAATCTTAACTGATTGATAAGACGTGACCTACCACCAATGTGCGGGGAAGGGGGTTGTTTTATATGTCGCGCCTCTTGTAATGGTTCACTACAACAGGCGCGCGACATATACAATTAATAATGTTAAAAAAAAAAACGAAAACAGCGCAATTGTGTGCACAGTGCACACCACGAACCAGACCACCCCACAAACCGGCAACTCGGAGGTGGGCAACCCCCAAGATTAATTTTTGCAGAAGCCGCGAGCGAGGGGTGGAGGCGCAGTGAGGTCGAGGACGTTCCCAGGAAAAAATTTAAAGCAGAGCTAAGCTAGCTTTTTCCAGCTTGGCTTTTTCTAGTACAAAATTGGAACACTTTAGCTTTCTTAGCTTGGAAAATTTACCAGTTTAGAAACGTGATATCTTGCTTGTTTTAGCTTTTCTTGCTTGAATGCGCTGCTTTTTCTAGCTTATCTAGCTTTCTGTTCTTCAAACATGCACCAGATGAAGCTGTGCTTTTTCTAGCTTTTTCAGTTGTTTTGAAATTTTGAGGTAGCTTTATTTAGCTTTTTTAGCTTGCTATGTTCAGTGCAAAGATTAGCTTTAATTTGGCTCAGAATTAGTCGAAAATAAGTTATAACCCAATTAACATGGATATTTTATAATCAGCTATTACCCTAATTTGAATATTCTCATTAATTAATTGAATTTACCATTCCTCCATCGAGATTCGATCTTGCAACCTCTTGATCTCCAGCCCACGACTTTACCATTACACTATTGGTCTTTGTTATCAAAGATTGTATAAAAGCGTCATTATATTCTCTGTTCATACATACAAAATTGACTGCTTTTGTAAGCTTTTCTTGCTTTCTCACAAGTGATATACTTATGCAAGGCAAGCTTTCTGTTGCTTTATTTAGCTTTTTCAGGTCCTTTACAAAATATTATTTTGCTTTGTCATGCTTTTTTAGCTTTGCACTTCAAAGCTAGTACAATTGTCTTGCTTTTCTAAGCTTTTTGTAGCTTTTAACCTCAAAGGAAGAGAAATCATCTTGCTTTATTAAGCTTTATTAGCTTGACAGTATTGACACTTCCAGGAAAGCACACACACCTTGCTTTATCTAGCTTTCCCTGCTTCTTCCTAGCTTTTGGAATCTTAATTTATTCAAAATCAAGACTAGCTTCTTGCGTGGCTTTCCGAGAGACTTCTACCTCTACGCTTAAGGCTTATACTACCTTTTTGTGAGTCTTTTATCACATCTAGCAAAGCCACGCACTTTTCAAGGAGTGCTGACCCCTCGCTTTGATTGCATTTGCAAATAAAACTTAGCGGCATATACAAACAATATAATAGCAGGGTGGTCGAAAATTCGGCGCTTTCATCGGCAAATTTGGCGATTGAAATTTCGGGCCGTGGACTTTTTTGCGTATTCGCCAGGTTAACCCGCTCTGTTTAGAAACCAACGAAAACTATTGATTTTTAAACTTTATACTTTTTTTGATCCAGCTAGATTCATTTTGTGCTGTATTTTTTGGAAATCCACAACAACGTTAGAAAAAAAGATCTTTTTGATATGTCCCATGATTATCAGATTATTACTTCATATATAAAGAAGAAGCGGGCAGAGATTCAATTTTTCGAACAGCAACAATACTTGACTAAAATTTTGGAATTTCGGCTCACTTAAATTTGCTCGCTCGCTTTTGGTATTTAAACCGCGGTTTCTCTTATTATATTTTTTATTTGGTTTGTTAACTTTGAAATTAATTTTGCACGAGTTTTCCGCTTCAGATTTAATATATTTTTGTCAATTTAAAATTGCGCACAAGAAATAGAAATTTTATTAATGATGAGAAAAGGGGTGCGATGAACATACATCTGTTTACAGTGTTTACAAAAATAAGCTAGAATCTGTGATCTGTCCAAAATTTTAAGATGGTTAAAAAAAGGTTTTGTTTCTGCGTTGGGACGCCTCACGGGGGTGGGCCAGGGTTGCAAGGGCTAAAAAGGGTAAAAAAAAATTATGTAAAAAAAGTTGGCTAGAAATGACCCAAATCCTCTGTCCAAGATTTTTAGATAGTCCAGAAAATTTTTTATTCTGTCGAATTTTATCACGAGGGCGACGGTTCAAGGGGTAGAAGACCGCAGAAACTAGAAGAAAATTTTGTAGAAAGCTTATTATCTAATATTTTTATGAGTACTTTTTGAAGCCAAACCCCCCTATATACTCCAAAAAACTAGACTCAAAGATATTGACATATATTTGAAAAAACGGTGAATATTCGATTATAAAACCTCGTTTTAGCATATAAGGATCTCTGATTGAGGTAAACACCCTTTGAAAGCAGAGCAACGAAAAGCATAGAGCCTACGCGTCTGCCGTCTTAACACTTTTTGATCACAGCAGCATTCATGTGCCGTTTAAGCTAGGAAAAGCTAGATAACGCTAGCTGGAATTTTGACGGTAAAGCTGAAAAAGCTAAGAAAAGCAAATAGCATCCTCATTAAAATTAAGGATATTTGGAAAGCTAGGCAAAGCAATGTAAAGCTAAAACTTGCTTTTCGATCAGTGGATGGTTTTCAAGGCTATGAAAGCAAGAAAAAGCAAATAAAGCTAGAAAAACTGAATAAAGCAACGGTTGCTCGGACTTGTACGAGACGGTAAAATATAGAAAGCAGAAAAAGCTGAACCAAGCAAGTTTTGCTTGAAATCAAAATTTTACTTCGCTTGTTCTAGAGCTAAAATTGCTAGAAAAAGCAAATTTAGCTTTGCAAGCTAGATGAAGCTAACGTAGCTTAGCGCAAATTCAAGCTAAAATTTATAATTAGAAAGCAAAGAAAGCTGGAAAAAGCTCTTTTCTGCTTGCCAAAGCTAAGCAACCTAAGTCAAGCAAGGTTTTGGTAAAATTAAAAAAGCTAAAAATGCTATAAAAAGCAAAACAAGCTAGAAAAGCTAGGCTTGCTCTGCTTTTTCTAGCTTGAAAACCTTGATTTTAGCTTTAAACTTTTTCCTGGGGTTGGGAAGGCCGTGCGGAGGGCGAGGACAAAAGGGCGGCTGTGTTCGTGGGGGGGGGGGGGGCTCCGCAGAGCTCCCCCACGATCCCCGCCCTTTTGTCCCGCCCGTAGCCGGCCTTCACCACGTTCTCGGGCTAGCGCGCCTCCAGCCCGAAGCTCGCAAACCCACAACGGAGTTGCCCACGAAGGGCGTTATGGGCAACCACACCGTTTGCTTTCAAAACACCCTTTGCAGACAACTCCCTTTGTGGGCAACTCCGTTGTGGGTTTGCGAGCTTCGGGCTGGAGGCGAAAATTTAATCTGTTCTTTTCTCTTTAAAGTTTTTTATATTTTACTTTTCATTTCACGGAAAAAGTTTCCTCTCAAATCATTTCATTACTTAATTAAAATCTCAAAATGAATTTTAAACTTTACCATTATTTGTTAATGAAGAGCACACTGGACGACGGCCTTTGTCTTGCGTCCGAATCCTCTCTGACAAACGGCGCAGACTCGGTTAGCGCTTGATTTCTCCATCAGGTCAGGCTCGGAGTCTGCGCAGGACAAAGAAAAAACATTGGCTGAACAAAGAAAGAACACGTCTTGGCCTAAAGCGATTTTTGCTTCCTGGAGACAAAAAGTTTTGCCAAAACATTGAAATCAAAACCAATACCTTCCAAGCATTCACGAATACGGGCCGAGCCAATGTCCTGCTTTGTTGAAATTGTTGGCACAGTCAAAGGAGCTCAGCTCGTCCAGCTTGGGTTCAACCTCTTCTGCTGCACCAGGGTCGAAGCACACATCGGACCCTCCTTCCGGCCCTCAGGGAGCGGCACCGCCTCCGGGGGCCTCTCCTCCCCCTAGCCGGCCGCCTCCACCTCGGCCACTGCAGGCCGATGGACGGCCGCAGAGGTCAGAGGGGCCGAAGCCTCTTCGGCCTACTCCACGCAACACCTTGACGAGTTCTATTCGATCCTCCGCCTCTTGGCCTCCTCCTTTTGACCTTCCTTTCCTTGAAAACGTTCGAGGCGGCTTTTTCTTCTCCCTCGGCCGTCGCAACAGCGGCCGATCGGGCCGATGCGGCATCTTTTAGCAGATCCGTTGGCATCAACAGACATGTTAAATGTGGCCTGTATTGTGTTGATCAAGAAGTCTTCTTGGTGTTCATGTTGTTGTTGTTGTTTGTATTTTTTGGCTTTGGTGGTGACCATTCAGCCAGATCTAATTTAGGACAGGTCTAATTGGTTAATGTCGTGCTGCAGGGAAGATTTTCTTGTACAGCTCGTGCAGTTCTATGTAGATTTGCTTGTTTTGGGTTGAGAGGATGTTTGGGAGATTAAAGGGAGGCCGGAAGTTATTATTTCTGAGAGTTCGGTCAAGCTTGGTACGTGCGATCCATTATCGTGGACAGGTAAAGATCAAGTGTTCAAGCGTGCACGGATTTTGTGAGCAAAAGCATGCAGGAGAGGGTCTTAGCTTCCATGCAAACAGCCTATCTGGTGTAGTGGCATGAGCATGTTGTTGCATGTTGTGTTCATGTTGTTGCTACTTAATTTTTTCTGAGGCCATCTTGGATTTTGGGCGGAAACCAACCTAACGAAAAACGGCGAGAAACAGATTTGAGAGATTACAGACGATTTACTTGATTCAATATTTGAATTGACGGGATTTCCTTTTGATGGCAATTTAAATCTCATGATATCTTGTTGTAATTCGCAAGATTTGAAAGTTTAGTATGTTTGTGTGATTTGAGTTTTGAATAGTTGGTGCTTGCGCGAGAGAGACAACAAAATATAAATAAGAGCGGGAAAGGCACAAGGAATGAACTACTCTCCCCGAGTGTGTGCAAGAGACGGCATAACATTACTTTTGCCTCAATAATTATGAAAATTGTAAAAAGTGCAATAGTACCTCATTTCCATTGGATGTTGTATGGAAGAATGAATAATATTCTAGATAAATGAAGAGAATTTTGTCTTCTTTACTTCTTATTATAAACCCAAATTGTAAAATGAAATAAAAAAACATTAAATATTTTATTAAATATTATCATTTTCTATGTTCCTAACGGCATCCAAGTATGATACCCCTCAGATTTTGATAGAAAAAACAAGAAATCTAATTTTTTAAATGTGAAAATTGGAAATAACACTAATTTCACGACAAAAGTAATCAAAAAAAGACAAATGAAATCATAATATATTTTCAATATCATGTTATTTATTAAAGGGGTTTCCCGGTGAACATCAGCAGTGCATTTAAATATTTCATAAAAATTTCAGGATTATTCACATAAATTTGAAACAACAATATTCTATTCAAATTTCAATATCATAATTTAGTTAACTTGACTCTCACTCTTAAATAATAAAGATCCTTGTCCTTAGAGGAGAAGTATATTATTTTCGGAGCACAAGTGAAGGGTCGTCCGTGGCTTCATTAATCATACGAAAAATCTTAAAAAATCTCCTAATTCCATTTAAAAAAACACACATTATCAATTTATATTATCAATTTGGTAAAAATTAAGTGGAGTTACAAACAGTGTTTAGTTAAAAGAATTATTATAGTGTAAAGCCGATTATAAAATTATTTCCTCAAAGCACTCACAGAGCACCAGAAAATACAAAAGTTTCATAAACGAGTCGAGATTATAGACGAGGGCGACGAGGGTTAAATTACACATTAAAATCAGAATGACTTCAAGTCAGTGGCATGAGAAATATATCTGGCTCGGCACCATTGACAATATTTGGGACGAAAAGAAAGTCTTGGTGGTAAAAAAATTCATTACAAGTTTTGTTATCAATTCCATACAATATATATATTCAAGAGCAATAAAGACATAAATTTAAGGTAGCAGAACTTCAGGCAATCTTGTGTTTAGCAACAGTGTGGCCACCAGAGAGATTTCCTTCGCAGTTTGTCACCAAGCACTTGTTGCCGTTGGCCAGCATGCAGTAAAATCGAAAAACAAACTTATTACGGAGACGTGTTTTTGGTATGTGAGGAGAGCTGAAAAACCGGCCCCTTAAGCAATCTTATGTTTCGAAACCGTGTGCCCTCCTGACAGGTTTCCACCACAGCCCATCACTAAACAGTTCTCCTGGTTGGCCTTCATGCAGTCATAGCAGCCGCTGTCGTGCTGGCAATCATGCAACTTTGTCCTTTTCTTCACGCCGCAGGCTTGGCAGAGAAGTTCGGTTCGGGCAACTAAGCAGCACAGCAGAACACGACGGAGTGGCTCTTCAAACTCTGGAAAGGAAATCAATAAAGGTGTAAACGAGACCACGTGTTGCAACATATTTGAAGAAAATGAAAGGGCCGAAAGGGGTGGAACATTTTCCAAAATAGAACTAGACTAGCAGTGTAAATTTCATAATGCAACTCACCATCATGGACAGTCTCGAAGATTTGGTTGAGCTCGAAGGTTTCAAGCAGCCCCTGTTGATCGAACCTTTTGTTCAGGACATCATGAACGTTCACTCGCCAAGACTCTTCCGACATGCTGCCTGTTTGAATCTTTTCCATTATGCTGACAGCCTTAGCGTCGTCTTCGGATCGGGTCATAAATCTCTAAAAGATACAAAAACAAAAATTCAGCAAAATTTAATTAAATCAAGATTCATCAGCATAGCTTCTAAAAAAAAAGTATAAAGACAACATACCTGAGCAACCACAAGACCTTTTCCAGCTGCCAGACTGTAAGCAAGAATTTTCAAGTTGTTAATAAGCATAATGAAGTCTCAACCTCATTCATATAATATGGGTGAAGACATAAAAATTGCGAATGATTATTAACAACGTTAATCACTACAATGGCCGCAGCTCTATTGCATAAGTAAAACCGGCCGACTGTATGAATCCAGTACGGCGTTTTATTTATAGTTTTATATTAACAAAAAATAGATACTAGTGATGGAAAACTCACCAGAAAATCTTCCTCTTCTTCTCCGTGTATACCATTTCTAACTTCTCCTGCCTAGTGGTCGGCGTTGTCAAGCACTGAATGCAGGCGTCTCCTCTTCCACCACAACTGATGCAGAGGGCAGAGTGGCCACAGATGATTCTATGAACGGCTGGCCGAAGGCAATGCTGACACAATTGTGAATTGTCTGCTGAACAGCGACAGGCCCTTGGAAGCCAGTTTGTAGATCATACAGATCGCGAGGACAATCCCTGAAATGGGAAGAGAAAATTTAAGAATGTGCTGCGCATGCGATAGAGGCAAAGTAAAACTTACACTCCATGTCGAGTTGCACGATTTCTTTGTTGAAGATGAGGGACTGGATCAAATCACTTTTTGTAACTTTGCTCAGGTCCAGATTCAAGATTTCGTTCATGGTGCCCGGCACGAACTTGGTTTCCTGGAATAATAAGTGGATAAATTGTTGTGTTTCATATTTTAAAGGAAGATGTGCTTACAAGCTCTTCACTGTACTCATAAGGTGCAGCCCTGGGACTGACGGGACTCCGCTTTCTGAAAAAATATAAAGTTTTGCTCATTTGTTATCCATTTTATATTTTAGAACTTTCCGTAAAAAAGTGAGATATGAAAAAAAAAATACTTGCTAAGACAAAACTAGGCATATAAATGATCAGACCATATATTAGATGGTAAAAGCACGCAAATTAATTCAAAGAATAAGAAGAAAACACAACTCGAGTAAGCTGAGTGGAGTGTGTTGCTAATATAATGAAATTCAAGAACGAAAGTATTTGCATAAACACTTACCTCGTCTGACAAATCCAAGAATGAGGTTTCGTAGGCATTTGCCTCATCATCAGGTCCTTGATTTGCATCGGTGTCATGATTCACTACGTTAGCCTGCAGGCAGAGAATATCACCAATTGATAATGCAGAAACGATAGCACAGACATAAAATATCACTTTGTGAGGCTGAATAGATTAATCAATTAGCATGGTATGAGACAACGACTTTAAACGTTTATTTCAACCATTAATTAGCAAACAATTAATTAAAATGCAAACAACAACAAAACTATAAGTGCAATTAAATGATTTTGGGGAAAAATTAGATGCCCAAGCGATAACCTAAGGTGAGTTTGCTCCATTAAATTAATGTCAACCCCTAATTTAAAATTTCATAAAATTAACAACAATTTAAGTGCAAGTTTAGTGTTATTAGTAAAATTTAAAGCTTGATGAAATATACTAAATTAATAAAGTTACAACCACCAATGTAGGAAATTTGGGGTTCAAATTTTATTCACTAAGTAAAATTGCCCATGTCAATCGCTGTATGGCTTACATTTTACCATTGACACACGACCTGCTTCGAAATTGTTGCTAATATAAAGCAATTTCAAATTTGGGGTTTGAAAGCAAATTGATAGCAAAATATATCAACTTTGGCGATCGCTTGGACTTCAAATTTCTCCTAAAGTCATGTATTGAGAACTTTCATTTGCTTCTTTTTCAGTTGATTGCTAATTAAGGGTTGAAATTAAATTTTTTTTTTTGAAAATCACATTCAGCGTTGATTTCTTTTTTACCCCATATGTTTCCCATCCATAATCATGATCCGCACTGGAAGTTCAATTAGTTTCCTTCGACTCACCCCCGCTCACCCGCTCACCCCATTACCCAAGTAACTCAGAATTCATGAAAAATTAACACAAATTGCCAGAACAGATGATCTAATTGATTATTCAGTACAAGCACCAATTAAAAACGTTGCATTTTTTTTTAAAATGACGTGCATAGCACGTTTGGTGATCGTAACGAGTTGCACGGAAAAGAATATGAGGATTGGAAACGGCTCGTGCGATTTCATTCGCAAAACAAACAACGTAATGGCGAATTCGAAAGCAGCCCTTGTTTTCGATGGCATTGGTGGGTCACAAATTCAAATTACAAAAAGGCGCAGAAATGGATCAAGAGGATTTATCAATAAATATTTAAAAGAATGGTGCAATAATTTTGCTCGGATCAGCACTACAGGGTGAGGCAGAAAATCGTGAGACTTTTTTCGATACTGATTTTCTAGTATTTAAATTTGTTATTTTTGGCACAAATTTTGTTTATCTTTCGGAAGGAGGCGGGAAATTCTTTTTTGTTATATTTTGGCAGCCTAACACTAAACACGTAAAAATGATCTGATGGGAATGATAACATTGCATGTATTTGATAAAAGTCACCGATAGTAGGCAAAATATGCTCTTGCGAGCATTATGGACTTGACCGAGATAAAAAATATTCACATATTAAGCGCAAAAGGAAACACACAATTTACAATTGCAGAGGCTGCACTTGGCAGTATCGAGGCAAAAGAGCAAGAAAACAAATTAACTGCGAAAAATAAATCTTACCTTAACTCGTGTCTTGACCTGAATTTCTTCGTTTCTTCAGGGGCAACATGCTTGCTGCCTCGACCACCCCCTTGAAGGTTTGGCCTAGCAGCCGACGGAGCTGGGACGCGGCTCGTTGAGGGCTTCTCGTGAGTGGCATGGCACTGCGGGCCATGGAACTTCTGTTGCTTCGACACGCCAAGCGGGTACAGTTGCGTCTGTTTTGGAGGCTGTGCTGCAGGGTCAGGTCGCGAGCTCTGAAGGCTAGAACTTGGGTGCCCACCCAGCGCATGAGAAACACAAGGATGATAATCCAAACAGGCTTACGTTAAAAGTGAATGAAAAAGGAAAGATTAAGTGCGTCAAAGAACAATTTGTCTAATTTTGCTGATCGAATAAAGTAAATTTTAGGAGCGTCCACTGCATATACGAAAACGAGAATATTTTTGACAAGAACGGCTATGTCATGCGATGGCATTCACATAGATATGAATGTTGCCACAGTCATGATTGCAGAGCAAAAGCCAAAGAGACTGCCGACGGGGAAATCGTTTCTGAGGGGCATAACCATCCAAAAGACCTAGTATGGAAATTTGACAAGTGAGTGGGGCCTTTTTGCCATTTAAAATACAAATTGATTTAATTACTTTCGGCAAATATGCATTTCTGCATAAGTTTAATACAAATAGTTAAGCTCTGAGAATTATTAATCGATAATTAAATATTCATTCTTGATTGATAATGGAATATTATATTCTCCACTAAAGCACAAAATTGGTATTTTCTGATAGAAATATTGCAAATTATGGAAGTCAAAATTTAGCTCGTAAACTACAATAAAACCTGTTATGCTTAAGGTTTTACAGTTTTAAAGTTTTATGGAAATTATTTATTATCAAGTTATTAATTATTGTTAATTAGCTCATACATAAAACTTAATTTGTTGGCCACAGGTCTAAAAAACTCGGAGGCTATTTTGAGAACATTGAAGAATAGGACCGGGATCACGATTCCGCACTGAAAGGGCAAATTGTAATTAAAATTTTCTCTTTGTTGAGGTTTATTAGTTTTAAGATGAAAACTTTGGTACTCGTTCTAGCTGAACTGTATAAAACTTGCGTGCACTTCTTTAATTAGCGAGTTGTTTTTGTGTGTTTTTCTAAAAATGATAATGATTGAAGTCCGGCCGATTGCAAAGAATTGTTGGCTGTTTCTTACGAGGCGCGACGAGGTCAAACTTTGGCGATTTTAAGCAAAATGAAAAATTAACGAATTCCTTTTTTAATCTCTTTTCTGCTGCATTGGCTCTCTAAATGTGTAATTTGATTCATACAGCGCACAAAGGGACACTAAAAGTTCTCGAGTTTGTTGCAATCGTGTTGTGTATTTTAGTGTTTAAGGGAGGGACAAGATTTCTAGAGAATTTGCCGAGGAATTATTTGATATTGCGGGGCAAAAATGAATTAATCAAAATTCATGGTTTGCTGCTTTTTGCAATTTTTTTTGCACTTGTCGGGACAAATTATTTTACAGATATGATTTTTTCGGTCACAAATGAACAATAAAATTTTACTCATTTTGTGCAATTGCTTCTACTGCAGGTGGTGATTCCGGTAGTGCAGCAGCCTGCAGTTAGAAGGCAAGGAAACCCGATGGATAAGCAAAACGAGCCGAGCAGTGGTCATTCTGTTTGGAATAGATGATGCCTTGTGCTGTCAAATGCACTGAAACGTCTACGTTCAAAAAAGCAAAAAAGTTAGAATTTACTATGGAAAATATGTACGGAAACGAACTTTTTAAATACATATATTGAAATATCTTTGAGTTGGTGAGCAGAAAATACACTGCTTGGAATATGTTTTTGTTATCAAGCCGCATCTTGTTCCTTCATTATATAAGCTGCCAAAAATTAAGAAATCTTACCTGGACTTCAGCAACTTGACCGACGCCTTGGCCACCCACTCCGACAGTTTTCCTGGTGGTAGTTGCTGCTGGAGCCAGAAGGCGGCTGGTGGTGGCAAGGCACTGATGGCCATGATATCGTGCCTGCTTTGAAGCCCCTAATGGATAAAGGGGTAGCCCTTTGGACTCTTTGGCTTCGGGCTGATGGCTGGGGCCCGGCCTTGGCTCTTCGCTCACCTCTCGTCTACTCATCTTGTAAACGTCTGGCTGTAAAACTTGAGGGATCACAGCCTGCAACAGATGCAATTACACAAAATGAGCACAATTGTTATTTTTGGTTATTCTTGACCTAAAAAACTCAATCTTAAGGTTATTACTTTTCACTCCTTTTAACAAAAGTTAACATTTCCACGCCAATTTGATGAGAGAAAAGTGTTAAAAAATATTTTGGCGTTGATTTCTGCATATATAGTTAAAATTTTTCAAGAAACCACTAAAAAATGAACTCGAATCTCAAAATTTTTAACAGTGAAAGTTTGGCTCGTGGAGCGGAATTGCTGATTGAGCAAAAATGAAGGTGTGTTTGAAAACTCAAATTACTTCAGGAGGTGACTGTAGGGCCCATCTGAGTCCGCCATTGCTTTACGGTCAAAATGGGGTCAAAATCGGTAAACTTTCACAAGTCGCGAGACAAGAGTCGATTTGGTCTGAAACGAAAACCAGTTTGGTAGCTCCTGCATTTGACATAAAAAATTAATACTGCCAATAAATTCGTCGGAAAATTCAATCGGCCAAATCATTAAAAAAACAGCAAATTTGTTTTTAACACAAAAATAATGAAATTTTCAATTCATGTGAAACGACAGCGCCGTTTTATCATTTCTGAGTGCATTAGCGGTTAATTTAACCGCTCATTTCGAAGCAAATAAAAATTTCAAACAGAGAGTTGGTGAGCAGAAAATACACTGCTTTGGAATATGTTTTTGTTATCAAGTTGCATCTTGTTCCTTCATTATATAGATTTTATTCCAGCGACCATCCCCTCGCAGGAAACCGGCTAAAAAACCAATTTTTTAGCAAATAAACAACGTGAATCAGGGAATGTCTGAGAAAAGCGTTCCGATTGAGCCAAATTAAGCAGAGCTCAAAACTAGCCTGAATCAGAATCAAGAGAAAATCTGGTGCTTCTTATTTTTGTTGATCAAAAAGAGTACTTTAATTGTACTTTTACTACACAATTGTGAATGCGGTGGTGCTTCTGGCGTAAAAGGCCAATGTAATTATTCAATTTTTGTCGCAGTTTCATCTCCTTAATGTTTGTCTGCCAAGATTCAAGTAAAAAAGCAAGTTTTTCTTCGATTTTACTGGAGATTTGTTTACTTACTAAAACTATATTGTCAAATAATACAAAGTTTCGCGTGCCATAATACGCGACGAGAACGTGAGATTTGGCAGACGTGTGAAGAGATCGGCGGCGGCTTCTCCTGCTCGGCGTTCTCGTGTTGCAATGCAAAGAGGCGCGCTTTAATTATTATTTTGTGGTTTAAATATTGTTACGGGAAGAAGGGGAACGAAAGATAGGTGGCGAGTATCATGGTAGGGCAGTGAAGTGTTTATTGTTCCATCGTTAACAGCAGACTGAATGCATTGCACCTTGCGAGTATGATTGCTGTTCATGCACTCGCACTTACTCGACAGCATAGCCCATGACAATATTTTAACTATTAATCGCCTCAATTACGAACTTTCAGAATTGATTGGTCTGATTTTTACTTCAATGTTAATTTCTCTTGATGCGTGGTAAAATTTATATGGGCAGAGCGCACTTTGCGCTCAAACCAGTATATTAAAATTTGCAAATTTGGTCAAAAATTGTAAGTAAAAACAGCGTTTTTTATTCCAAAAACTTCAAAACTGTTCATAATTCCAATAATTGAAGTTAAACTTTGTGATTTCCAATTGCGGATGGTTTTTTATGCAAAAACTTTGTCTATAAGTCAAATTTTTTTGAGGAAACAATTATTTTCGAGCACAAAGCTGGAGCGGAAAATTGTTGAGCGCATACATGTACCATGTAAATGTTATTTAATAGCAGCTATTTAATTTTATTGAACATTGCTTCTATTAAAATGTCGTAAAGGTCGCAGCCAGCCGCACTGCACCGCGCCAGCCACGGTTTTTAGGGTCAAGTGACCAGCCACCGCGTTTGTGGCCAAGCCACGCCAGCCGCAAGATAAATTCTTCAAATCCCCGTATTGCCAATTTTAAAAATCGTAAAAAATTTTAATTTTTCGGAAAAAATTTCGCCGCTTTGCGCGTGATTTTATTCTTCACTTTTATAAATTTTTTTTGCTCCCCAAATTATTTTTGTATTCGAAATATATTTTGCTCTACTTGAGAACCAACTGGTGATTTGATCTCCATTGAGTATTGCAAGTTCTGTTTGGCCAAGATTTTCAGGTTTTTCTTCCACGGTTCGACGGGTTTTTGAGTCATTCATTGCTCCGTAGAAATAAATATCCTACCCTTCATGTTTCCGCTGCGGGCTGCAGCTATAATATAAGAGCTTTCATCAATTTTTTAACAAAATTTGCTGAATTTTGAGAAGGTGCACATTAAAAAATGAATTTCAGGCATGAAAATTACTTTTTTTAAGAAGCAATTTTACACTGAAAAAAGTTTGTCTTTGAATCAAAGCCAAAAAGCATATATAGAATCATGATATTACGTTTTCCTACAAAACAATAAACAAAAATCTCTACCAATGAAACTCCGAATGTATTTTAAAACAAAAGAATCGTCCTTCGATCGTAAATTTCTTATAAAAAAATTATATCATCTATTTACCTTTGTTTTTTGATGCCGGCAAGCCATGCTTAATTAATAATATATTTATAAAGAAGATCAAAATTGACAATGGTCGATACTGTTTATTGGATAGAAACTCAGCTTTCGATCAAGGATTTACTCATAAGTGATATTTTTCACTGGTCTTTAGTTACAGAAGTACATGAATTACAGCTGCAGCTCACAGCCGAGAATCATTTAGAGATACAATTTTTTTGTAACTATACATACGGCGCAGAAAGACACAGTCAAGTTTCATACATTAACTCATCGAGGAATAGCTATGAGAGTATTGATTCAACAAACAAAAAAGTAAAATCAGTAATTCAGTCGTTTGTGTCATATAAATTAAATTAAATCAAAAGAAAGCAGAGAAATTCAGGTGGTTTGAGTTAATTCAAAAAACTTAAATGTAAATCTTCCAATCATGTCATTTCTGATTACATTCTCGTCTTTTAATTGTTATCACGATAATTAAAAAAAAAAGAATAAGGGCTTTTTTATTTTAAGCGGGATCCGGCCCGGCAAGATTTCAGTTGATTTTCTGGTATTTTTATGTAATCCGTGTGCTTTCTGAAGTTAAACTTATGAAGATTAGTTACGGGCAAGCAAGCCAGGCCTAGGAAATGCAAAAGAGAGGCCTCAGGTTTGTGTTAGGGTGACACATCCCTGACGCGGCCGAACACGGGTTGTTGTCGGTGCAGCAGCAGCTGAAGTTCAATGACTTGTTGTTTTTCAAGAAATGCATCTTTTCGACTGCAGCTCGGCAAGTAGGCTTAATTTGGAAACACTTGCTTTAAATTTAAGCTTATGAGTTTTAGTACGTAGCTTATTAGGACTGGCTGCAAATTCTCCCTTCAATGTAATTTTTCCCCCAAAAATAATATTTGACCTGTTTTTAGCGAAAAAACGAATTGAGGAATTCCATTAAAAGGCTTCTTGCATCAACGGATTGAAATTTTTTTGCGCGCTGACCGTCTTGCATTTCCTCACTGCTTGCAATTATTTCTCAAGTTGTAAAGCAAGCGTCGGAAACGTTTTTCAAGTCTGCCTTTAATCGATGAAAAACGATGCATTTATAGTGTCTTAATTAAAGCTGTTGTGGGTTCGCGCCGCGGCGGCCGTGTCTCTTTTGATGTCGGGCGTTTTAGTAGAAATCTGCTGGTTTTGTTACCTTTTCTGCTCATTATTTCCATTTCCAATATTTCCTTTTGCATAGACTGGATTACAATTAACAATAATAAGGTTACTATAAGAGCCAGAATTAAGAATAGAGACATTCGAAAAAGAAAAATTGTCGAAGGTTTGGCTGCCGGGAGGGAAAATCAAATTTCGATTTCTCACAATGCAGATTACAATGATATGATTAGTGAAGGATGTGTAATTTTCACGTAACTTTTCCTTTTTAATTTGCAATTAATAATGAATAATACAATTTTACATTTTCAGTTTGAGAGATGGAATAATTTGCGAGAATAATTTCCTACGTCTTGCCCAAATAATAAATTCATTATAATCAGGCCCAGGCCTCCAAAAGAGTCTTGTCCTAAGAGCTACTTGTTTGGCAGAGAGAACTGAATAACCATAATTTCTAGACGAAATAAATTAGCACAAAATCGGGCTAAATGTTAGCCTGCGCCTCCGGAAAAATTGAAAAAGTGGGTCAAAAATTTCACTTGAACGTGTTCCTACACGTTTGGTCCCTTTTGAAAAGTAGTAAGGCGTCGCAAAACTGGGACAGAAAAGTTGTTTTTGAATTTTTATCTCCAACTGTAAAATAAAAAACTCGATTTTAGAGTTTTTTGAAAATATTTTGCGAAAGAAATTTGTAAATTTATTTCACCTCACAGGCGTGACCATGTCACTCGGGACAACCAAATATGTTTCTTTCAGAAAGCAAAATTTTTCGACGTGCTATTTTTCTACGTCCGAAAGTAGAAACTCATTCTTGCAACGCAGTTTTAAAATAAATTCGCCCCAACGCCTCTTTGCATTTCAGTGTTTTCGTTCTCGCGATTTCCCTTCACGACTTGACGACATTTTTGTCGCAAGAGTGCACAAATCACGAACACAAGTCCGGACGCTCTAGATAGATATTCCGTCATGTTTGCTGCAAGTTCTCTTATCATGGAATCGCCACCTCCAGCTAGTCCGTCGGTCGTTCCAAGGTCATTGACACCAAATCGATTCCCTTTTATCGAACCCTGGACGCCGAATTGGAGCTTCCGTCGAAATCCATCAACGTGTATTACAATTTTTCAACTTTTTATACCGAATTTCATTGCGCAAGCAAAGCTTAAAAACGTAGGTTTGACACTTTTATGCTGTGTATTTTTTTACTCCGCGCCAAGTGAGGCATCCAAAATCAATATACAAAATATAATTTAGTTCAGAATAACGTTCTTGTGATCGAAATAAGGACTTAGAATTTATTAATTTTAAAT